CCCCCCGTTCATTAGCAAAGGCATGGTCAACCCGAAGTTCTTGGTTGCCTTTGAAAAGCCATGAAAGAGGCCACCAATTGAATTTCCAGAATCAGGGAGTTCCATAACTCTGGCCTGTACCACAAAAGGCCCTCCTTCTAGCAGAGACTGTCTCCATAAAGCAGGGCCTTGTTAGAAGATGTCTATAGTTAAAGATGTTCATATGGAAGGTGGTGTTCCCTGAGATAGCAGAGCCAAGGCTTGGTAGGTTGAAACCAGCACCTTAACTGGGGGGAATTTCACATTACCCGTCTTCTCCCGGTTTCAAGCCGGGAGTCTTCCGTTTGCAGATGAACCAGTAGAGGGCTGCCGTTTCACACACGGCTTGCCCCTACCGGAAAGGAGCCGATTCAGAAGCGGTTCGGCGTTTCACACACGCACCGCTTTGTTTCCCCATGGTTTTTTTTTTTAAAAAGTCCGTCTTATAGCGATATATCAATATACCAGTATTCCAATGTATTCCAATGGGATCGGTATAGCGTTATATCGATATATCGATATAAGCCGAACGTTCAAAAAAAAAAAAAGCCCGCGCGGCTGAAAAAAGGCGGGAAAGAAGCGTATCGGAACCGGGAGAGGGAACGGGGGCCTTTTCGGAAGCGGTTGACAGGTAAAACGCTTCCCTCCCGGTTCCTAATCGGAAGAGAGACTTCCCTGTGTGAAATGCCACTTCATCCCGGTAGGGAACCGATTCTCAACTGGGTTCTGTCTGAAATGACAGACCAGCACCCGGTTGAGAATCGGTTCCCTACCGGGAGAAAGCACCTGTCTGAAATTCCCCTCGGTTTGGGAACTGTGGATAGCAGTTAGGCTGCTCCAGGACTGGTGAGACATGAGTGTTCTGTTATGAGATGTGCCCCCAGCATCTTTTGTGATGTCACAGGAGATGTGTGATTTTGGAAGGGCATCCTAGCTCATTCTAGAGTGATGGATGATCCCGGAAGTGAACCTCCATGAAACTGTAGAGGTACAAAACAAGGATTTTTCTGCCCACTAGTCCCGGAGTATAAAGATACAATGGAAACCCCCTTCAGATATTCACATAACTTGTCTGTGCATATGCATTAATGTGTGTTTATACAGCAACACTTGAGAAACATGGGTAGTGTCCTGAGGTCATTTAATTTTTGATGTTTTGGCTTACCATTTGTTGATCAACAATGCCTAACGATTAGGGCCCAAGCATAATTTCTCTGGGCCCAGCACAAATATGCACCTCAGACCTGTTATACCATATGTACAGTTCCATGAATCATGAAAGAAAAGACTGTTTTTATTCCTGATATGTCATAAATAAATGATACCATCTTTTTAACATGGGGGAGTATGCCTGATATGTGGTCTAAAGCTGATGGCCACATGGGAGGAGTCTGCCCTGTAACTCCTCCCTGTGCTGGTGTTGGCCTCAGGCAAGGGGAGGAGGAGGAGGTGGTGGGCTATGATTTCAGATTACAGATCGGGGGGCATACTTTTTTGAATTCATCCCCCATGTTAAAAAATTAATGTACTAAGCTAGTCAATCAAAGAGAGAGGTGTTAGTATAGCCTGATGGGCTCATTTTTAATGAGGGAGCAAAACATAGACACACCACTCCAACCTTGTCCTCTGAAGTAACGCAGTCCAGAAGTCTGCTGTGGGTTTGCAGATTCTGGTGTATGCAGGGTTTTGTTGTATTTAAGGACGTGTATTTAGCACAGTGTTCCGTGCGCCTCGGCGTCTAGTCATGCCAGCCACATGACCACAGAAACGTCTTTGGATAGTGCTGGCTCTTTGGGTTGGAAATGGAGATGAGCACCGCATCCCTAGAGTCGAATTCGACTGGCTTTCAAGCAAGGGAAACCTTTACCTATTTAGCACTCATGCTGTCTAAAGAATTATGGTTCTTGCAAACATGGTTCTTATCACATCCAGATCTCTCTTGTGATTTAAAATGCCCCCCCCTGCACAAACACATATACACTTGACATCAGCACATCAAATGTGTTTGCTCTCTTTACACTGGCACAGCAGGCGAGTTCCTCCTATAACCAGGGCTATTTTTGGGCAGGAATTCACAGGAACGGAGTTCTGGCTGGCTCCTGAGTTGGCCACACCCAGTAGGAACTCATTAGCATAATAGGCCACACCCAACAGGAGAAACTCATTAGAATTGGCTACATTAGGGGTGTGTGGCCTAACATGCAAAGGAGTTCCTGCTACAAAAAAAGCCCTGGGTTTTGACAAGGTAAACAGAAAGGAAGCAAAAGGTGGGTGTGGCTGGATGACCACACTTCTGGTAACATGGGGGTGCGGCCTAATATGCTAATGTGCTGTGCTGTCAAGGGTGTGGCCTAATATGCTAATGAGTGTCTGCTGTTGGGTGTGGCCTATTATGCTAATGAGTTCCTGCTGGGCTTTTTCTACAAAAAAAGCCCTGCCTATAACCATGGGAGGCTTTGGCCATCCCAGTGCAGCAGCTGTACCAGAGGTCCCCAACATGATACCCATGGGCACCATGGCACCTGCTGATACTTTTTTTTAAATTTTGGTGGCAGATGCCAATGTAGTGTTGGTTTTATTCTCTTTCACTTCTCTTTCCCAGTGTATTTTTTAAATTACCAGCACTTGGGCTTCCAATGTGTGTGTGTCTCCACTTTGTGTGGCTGTCATATTGTGGCTGTGCCCACCACTCTGTGTCAGAACTCCATATGTGCCCATGGGCTCAAAAAAAAAAAAAAAGGTTGAGGACTCCTAAGTTAGATACTCCAAAGCATACATCAGGTTGGCTATCTTGGCACACATGACAATTTTTCCATAGCCAGAGAGGTAACAATCTTGGAAGTTTCTTCTACTTATAAGTTTGGCCTGACACACACACACCCCAACTCTACATTGTGACAACAGAGGG